TTGTTTCTTTAAAACCTTTTTAATAACCCACTCGATTAATTTAGACGATTTTTTTTTCAAAACATAAAGTAGCACCTAAAATCCACCATTTTGATTTTTAATTATATCTACATACCCTATGACATTTGCGTTATCAAGTCGAGTTTAAAGACGTATGAATCATCAAAATTGGTTACTCCGTTTAGTAATTATGAGGGAACATAAGGTCGGATATACATGCATACATACATATACATATAGGTCAAACCTATAACCTCCCTTTGAGCTTCGCCACAGCCGGGTAATAAAATTTTATAGTAGACTATTGCTTCCCAATACAAACTTTCATCCCCATTTTCACCCCTAAAAAGTAACCTATGTCCTTCCCAGGGTCTCAAACTATCTTCTTACCAAATTTCATCTAAATCGGTTCAGTAGATCCAGAGATTATCCCCTACAACGTCACTAACTCCCAACCTAACTAACTCACAAACTTTACCTCTTTAATCTTTATAATATTAGTATAGAATACGTTAGTGTTCTGTTCAATTTTGCTCTTAACTCTAAAAGCCAAAAAAGAAAAGAATTACCTATCTTTGTTTATTAGTAAGTAGGTTTGTATATTTATTTTGCATAATATAGTATATGGCTCATCAGTCTTACCCACAAGATCGTGTTATCTACAACATAATATCACGTTTTGGAATAATAATTCAGAAAAATCCGCCTTAACATGAATCATGACAAATCTATTTAAATATGTATAAATACATCACAGATCGATGTCCCTATCTATAACTTCAAGTAGGTATAATTACAGTGATAGCCTTGCAAGTATTCATATCTAAAAGTAATGTTTATTCACAGATGACATAATACTATTTATTTTTATATTATACCTTATAATTTCATTATGTCCGTCTGTCTATAATATGTCAAAGTCATTTTACTCAAACAGTAAATAAAAATATACCTAATAATGGCTGGAGACTCATGTATCTAACTGAGGAGTGAAATAAAAATTTGAGTCTTATGTAAGCATTGGGATATTTTTAAATAGGTCTGTAAATTAAGATACTGTTTGTTTCTGAGTGACTTTTTGTAGTTGCTTATGTGTGTTAAAACTTAAACATAACTTTTGACTCCTGCGTTTCCTCAAAATAATTTTTATATATTTGGACTCCTTTTCACCTTCCCTGTCCAAAAAGACCACCCACTCCTCCAGGGGCCGCGTCCCATATACTAAATAGTCCTCTCTAAATTAACAAACGAATTAGTTAAAGTAAACTCTGGATAGTGTGTATTTTATCAAACTAATATTTGTTTATATACTTTTCTTAGTTATTTGGGCCAGAGCGTAAAGAATGGACCCTCATGAAATTGACTACTTTACTAGAAAGAGAAAAAGTGAACGTGCGGCCAAAAAATATATAATACTAGCAGAACGCACGGCTTCGCTCGCGCTAAAACTACAATAAACTCAAAAAAGGGAAGGTTTCATACAAACTTTCATCCCCTATTTTACCCCCTTATGGGATTAATTTCGAAAAATGCTGAAACACGTGTTTATTTAATTGTATTGAAGAGCATCAATACCAAGTTTCAAGTGATTCTGATCATAAATATTTTTTGGAGTTGTATTATATATAACGTGTTTCCCGCGAATTAGAAAATCTCCCGGGATAAAAAGTAGCCTATGTCACTCTCCATGTCTGCAACTATCTCCACGCAAAAAATCACGCCAATCCGTCATTCCGTTTCGACGTGAAAGAAAGACATACAAACAAACACACTTTCTGATTTATAATATTAGTATGGATTATTGAAAATTATATTATTATAATGCAATGTAAAATTCAATTTATACAGAAGCCGCACATTCGTTTTGTCTTTGTCGCGCCTTTCCGCCATTTTTAGCTGATGGCTGGTAAAAAGCACCTAGGTCTATGAGAAATACTCAGCCATTCTCTATTTCTATGAGCCAGAGTATAGTTATGTAATATGTTGCTAATATATTTTTGTTTTATATTTATATATATATATATATATATATATATATATATATATATATATAATTATGATCGCTAATGTAATTTAATTGACATATATTTTTATAAAAAAAAAATTCTAAGAAACTCAAATAAAATCGGAGAAATGCTAGTCTGACTCTTATATTGCAAGTTCCGTTGCATGAAAAATCATACTAATCCATAAAGTCGTCTAGCGAGTACTTATCTATCGAGACACGGTTGCATGTATAGTCTTCCATATTTCCTAAACAAAGGCTTTCTGGAAGAAATCATGTACATAAAAGTATAAATAAATAAATAAGCATAATAAACAATTATGAACTGTGCATTTTAAGTAATGGCTTATAATATTCCATCGTCTCTTATACCTATCTGGCTATCTCGTCGATAGCTTTTGAAACATCAGCAATCTTACGTCTATACTGTGTTCATATTTTCTATAAAGCATTCGAAACCTCGAGAAAAAAAATCAAAATAAAACTGTGATAAAATCCAAAAAAATATTTTTTACTTACAATGTTATTATCCTACAATAGTTAAAAATCATAAGAGATCTCAAATCTCATGTAATATTGCACCACTTACCACTTACCTATTGTATTATGGTGATTCTGTGGGACACTTAGGCTAGAAATACCAGTACTACCAACTAAAACCTATATAAAGTTTTTAATATTATCATTTATTGTATTGACGAATTAAAAAATAACTAAATTTATTTGAGTATGGCAAGACAGCTGATTTTTTAATGTAAATAACCTGAATGATGTGGAGCAAACATTACGTCATGGAAGAAATCACGCCGCCCGCGGCAAAAAGTAGAACTATATGTATATGACAGGTCGGCCATGTTGCCGTTGTCAGGTGCTGTTACCGTGTTCGGATGCAACAAGATGTCATTGTAGTATGTCTGGAATGAACCCGGTCGATGACCATAATAATTATACTATTAAAATTAAAAATGGATTTTTTGTTATATTTACTCTACTTCTATGTATTACAAATAATAGACGAGTTCTTCGTTCTTTATGCGATTACCTGAGGCTCAGTTCTTGAACAAACAAAATAGGTGTACAATGTATTATTTTAATGTGTATAATTAATTTACAAAAACAATAAGAATTAATTCTAAAATTACATAAATATATATATATATATATATATATATATATACATACATACATACAAATATATGGCGGCCGTTTAGAATTGGGGACTTGGCCCCTAGCGGAGTGGGTGGTATTTCTGGATAAGGGACGTGATAGAGAGTCGAAATGTTAAATAAATTTTTTAATACAACAAAAGAGTCAAAAGTTATTGAGACTTAAAGTTATAACATTTCCATACATTATTTTGACATTACTACCATTTAGACACTTGGAGTCAAAACGTCACTTTCAATTGTCAAAATGATCTCCAGATGATTGTCTTTATTTGTACTTTGCGTGAAATTCGAATTTTCTAGTTTTCTAGTCATTTATGGCACTCGCCGGCCGCTACCGCGGCACGCTCGCTTCGCTCGCTCGGCTCGTGCGTTGTGGCAACTGTTCTAACCTAACCTAACCAAGATATGACGAATAATTAATAAATAATCTTAAATGTTCTAACCTAACCTAACCCAGATATGAGGAATAATAAATAAATAATCTTAAATGTTCTAACCTAACCTAACCCAGATATGAGGAATAATAAATAAATAATCTTAAATGTTCTAACCTAACCTAACCAAGATATGACGAATAATTAATAAATAATCTTAAATGTTCTAACCTAACCTAACCCAGATATGAGGAATAATAAATAAATAATCTTAAATGTTCTAACCTAACCTAACCCAGATATGACGAATAATAAATAAATAATTAAAAATATTCACAGATAAAAAAATGATTTTTTTTACTAAATGTACAATTGTAAAACAATATATTTTACATAAATCAGATAAAAAATCATAAATGTATTTATGAAATGAAAATAATATTTTTCTTTTTATTTATTTATTTATTAATATTAATATTTTACCAACAGAAAAAGCAAAAATAATCAAATATAATCTGTTGTCATTTAAGCGGTAATATAAAACAAAGTGTCAGTTTTGCTTTTGTCAAAATGTAAGATCATTTTGTTTGTGTTGTGAAATTATTAAAATATTAAATACAATAAAGCATTAATTGTTGTGAAAATGTGTAATGTACATAAAAAAGGATGCGTACTATTCGTTAAAGGTATGTTTATCTGTTGTAATCACTTATTTAGGTAAAGAAATGTATGGAAATGTGTTAGATATGTAAGTCTCAATAACTTTTTACTCGTACGTTTCCTCCAAATATTTTTAATATATTTTGACTCTCTGTCACCTCCCCTATCTAAAAATACCACCCACTCCGAATGGTGGTAAAGAAATATATGAAAATGTATGGAAATGTTGTAACTTTAAGTCTCAATAACTTTTGAATCTTTTGTTGTATTAAAAAATTTATTTAACATTTCGACTCCCTATCACGTCCCTTATCCAGAAATACCACCCACTCCGCTAGGGGCCAAGTCCCCAATTCTGAATTTGTGCCATATATATATATATATATATATATGTAATTTTAGAATTCTAATCTAGTTTAGGGGAGTCTAAAACCATAGAGGCTAGCAACATTCCGTCGCTTGACCGTAGCGCCACATCTGTGGCTGCGGGACTTTCGTGAGAACGGACTTTGTTCAATGTTTAGGTAGGTAAATAAAAATATTCCAAGTGTCAAATGTTGCAAACTGCAGAGTGACATATTAGTCTCAAGTCTGAAAGTTTTTCTTGTTGATTTAGCTAATTTGCGAGACAAAATTTTACTTAAAATCTCAAAAAAGTTTATTCTAATAATTTTACAATTTCCTATTCATTGTAATTTTCTAGATTATTGCACAATATTTACAAAATCACCGGCTGCGTTGTTTCATTTTGTGATTAGTTTAATAATGAATGAGCATGACGAAAATTTGATCATGGCCCTTGAGAGGTCTCAGTTAGAACTGCATGAAACCACCTCAGGGAATAACAACGAAAGCCCAAGACTTTCTCCAGTACAAATACAACAAGAATATTTTGAAAACCTACCAGAGTGTGATTGGGTGAAGTGAGTTGAAATATTTATTCTTTTTTTTTTATTTCAGTATTCAAATTGTTTCATTTCATTATAAATAGCATATGTTGTATCTAAATCAAAGTTGCCTATATAATATAATCAATCATGAATAATCACTCAATAAAATTCATTTAATATATTAATTGATAATAGTTAAGTATAAATATTATATGGTTATTTGTTACATATTTAAAATACTTTTTTCTCTTACAGGTATGAATCCAGTAATCGGAAATATTTACTACAAAATGTTGCTTTTGCTTTATTTGGTAGTCCTAGTTCAGAGGGAGACATGTCTTTAAGCAACCTTGAAAATACAAATCTAGAAGGCTATACATCAAGACAGAAGGAAAGGGTTATGAAAATTTATGAAAAATTATGTGAACAAAGTAAGAAAATTTTAAAAATATTTTATGAAGTGATATTTATAGATTTATCAATTGAGATGTATAATATTATAATCAATATTAATCATTCAATATAAATAAATAATATATTAACAATCTAATAATTAAAATACTGCTAAATCTGCTTCTCTCCTGTTGATATAATTATTAAGCATAATTTTTTTCATCTCTCATAGGTAAATATGCTCAAAATGATAGTGATATTTTTATGTCAGTACTACTTATTGTATGTGCAAAACCAAAGCCTATTAAGTTTTATCAGATTGAGCCATCAAATTATTGGATGGACTTACATCAAAGGAATGATATTGACATGAGTTACCCAGTCGTCTTCGTTGTTAGGAAATGTATACCTACAACTGTAGGGGGTAAGAATATAATTAAATATTATTTAAAATTGAAAAAAAGCTAAAATAAATCTATCGAAATCAATTGAATAAATAAATATACCATACATTTTTCTGGCCATTGTGGTATGATTGAGTAACTAATATCCATCCAAATACCCAAACATCTAAACTTTCATATTTATCATGTAAAATTTACAGAGTTATTACAGTGTGAAAAAGTAAAAAGCACATACTCTTGAACTCATATACAAACTTTCTGATCAATAGTTTCTTTTTTTATACAACAAATAATGTCTTCTAAAATCTACATAGTACTTCTAAAATAATTGTTAACTTGCAAACTCATGTTTCTTTTTATATTATTTTATTTATTTTTTTGATTTTTTAGCTAAGCCATGTAGGGTTTTCATAGACGAAGATGCAAGAGTCTATCACGACTGGCAATCATATTTAACAAACAACATGTTACCAAAATGTGTAATCATTGCACCAGAAAATGGTGAATATCAAGGAGTCATAGTTGAGGTGAGAATTTCAAAATATAAATAATTTAATATTATGATTATTTTATTTATTTGCCTTAGTCTAGTGGCTAGCATGTATAGCTGCAAATCTGGAGATCCTGGGTTTGAGTCCTGGGGTGGGCCAAGTTTAGTTATAGAGTTTTTGTGTTAAGAAGGTCTAACTGCCCAGAGTTAGGAAGTTGGTGGTGCATAACCCCTTCATCGGAGAGCATATAAAGCCTGTGGTCCTACATATGATCTCGCACTGGCGCATTTAGCTAGGCCCAGCGAGATTGGTCACTGTGGTTGTGGGCGTCATCATTATCATTGTATTTAAACCATTATAATAGTATAAACTAGCATTGCCCGCGGCACCGCCCGCGTTCAGATGACCAAAAACCAAATTCTTAGGTTTTACATATTAGTATATTCTTACAATGCAGTTTTTGTATTTTTTCTCTGAGAATCAAATATTTTCCCGCGGTAAAAAAGGATAACTTGACCTGGATAACCAGCTATCATCATACCGAATTTCATCAAAATCTGTCCAGTGGTTTAGCTCGTGATGCAGTAACAGACAGACAGACAGACATAGATAGCCCATTTATTGAGGATAGCTAAATACTATATTATTATCATCACGCTAATAACCAAGGGAGCTGAGCACTAATCATAAATGTCAACAAAGCGAGCAGACTTCCATGCATTATTGTAAAAATGATGTTTATAATATGTTTAAGTGCCTTAAGCTCAGAAACTACTAAGTCCATTTCAAAAATGCCTTTTGCATAAAGCCAAAGACTTTTTTGCAGTTTTAAAGAGAGCGAAGCTGTAGGTTCTGGTAGTCTTGCAATATAGTTGAAGCCCCTCTTTCTACTCATTAATAATGCAGGTCCCATCCAGTGGTACCTTACTTAAATAATCATGTATCTTGATATCTTTTCAGGGACAAGACTCATGTCTTGTAAAGTTATCGGTGACTCCTTCACCTTCACTGGGTATCAAGGCTAGAGTACTAAGTTCAGTTGATACAGCTAGTACAGTGGCGTCATTGGGTGCAGTGGGAGTTCTTGGTGTAGCTGCATTCACCCCAGTGGGACCTGCTGTCTTGATTGGAGCTACTGTGGCCACTGTGGCCACTGGCATATATGGTCTCGTCAGGTCATCGCTACACTTGCATGATAGAAAAGTACATGAACAGGTTAGTTATATAATATCTTTTGTTCTACATAGATTTATGATTGAAAAAAACATATATGTTTTTTTGAAAAAGGGTATAATAATTTTAAAAATTATATATAATTAAATAATGTAAATATATTATATATGATTAATTAATATAAATATAATTAATATAAATGTTTATTATTAAATATTATATATATGCTTAGAATTTCTTCTTTTTCATAAATGTTTTTTTCATTATTTGACAGCTGACAATATTTTAAGATATAAATATCTAATAGGTAAATATGATTAGGTATGAACTCTAATAATTATATTTAGTTAAAATATTATACATCAATTTGTGATGTATTTTAGGTATCGAAATATATTAGATTTGATTTGCATCAGCTGGCACCGACTTCGAAAATATCTGATTAGATATCTATTCTAAATGAAACAATTTTTTGGTTATTTTTTAAATTTTAGTGCCTTGAAGTCATTTTTTTTTAAGTTTTTATTGGCAATTCGTCCTTTTGGGCTTTGCCGCAGTCGGGTAAAAAAAGGAAGTTGACTACCTCCTTTATTTTCTTAGGCTATATAACATCTTACTACACAGGGGAACGGAGCAGTAAGCGTAAATATCAAAAATCAGGCAGGCTTCCATATATTATTGTAAATCTATATATAATAGGGATATTTTTTTGTTGATTTTTTTAAAAAACCGCCCAACCGATTTCGATTAAATTTAAATGGGGTCACGTGTGAAGTATATTCTCGACACTCTTCGAGTAATCGATGAACATACATTAAAGAAAAAAAAAGATTCCGACAAATCAAGAACCTCCTGCTTTTTGGATGCGAGTTAAAAATGTCATCTTGGTTAGCTATAAAGAAATTACCGTTTTATTTTAACCATTTTTACAGTCCATAAGCCCGACGGATGCTGAGGCCCGCGGGAGCTGGTTGAACATTGCGGCGTCAGGCGTCGGTCTGACAGCCGGAGCTGCCAGCACGCTGCTGGCCAAGTCTGCTGCAGCCGGCACAAATGTCAGTAAAGTGAGTAAAGACTTCACTGGACATGACATTCATGGTCAGAACTTCTGGGGTTCATGATTAGGACTTCTGGGGTTCATGATTAGGACTTCTGGGGTTCATGATTAGGACTTCTGGGGTTCATGGTCAGGACTGTCAATTTTAGTGGTTCTAATCTTTGATGAAAATTGTACGTCGTATATACACACAGCTAGATAGTTCTTAGACACAAGTAGAGAGTACAGAGAGATGAGTGGTGTGATACCGCTATCCGTTACAAGCGAGTGCACCATGCGAGTGTACTTTTGGAGGTAGATATTTAAGATCCGGGGATACCAATGAAAGCGTTTGTAACACACTAATAACTATTTATCTAATATATTTAAACGAGCCATTCTTGTATATTTATTTATTTATACCGGAGATCTTGGAAACGGCTCTAACGATTTCGCTGAAATTTGGTATGTGGGTGTTTTCCGGGGCGAAAAATCGATATAGATTAGTCTTATGTCTGTTAAAATGCGTGTTTTCGAGTTTTTATGAGGTTTTCTTTCGCATGTTTCTACGCAAAATATAAACGCTAATTACGCACGCTCGGGCCTAAACCTCGTGGTCAAGCGGCCAAGGCGCAAGATTGACAATCACAGGTCCGGGCTCGAATCCCGATAACAAAGGTTTTACTTTTGTTTTTTTTTGTATTTATTCAAGTTTTTACGTTTTTTTTAATCCAATAAATACTATATAAAAATAAAGAACTCCAGGTACTTATACTTAAATTACAAAACAATGTTCACGCGTATCGTCATATCGCTATTCTGACATAATATCATCCTTCTTTTCTCTTCTACATCTCTCATACCATTCTATTCTTAAAATATCGTTTCACGCAATCTTTTCTACCAAATCCCACCGATATATGCTATTGTGGACTATTCTGTAGGCCATTTTAAGATGTACAGTTTTCTAGTATATTATTTTGATTCATTTCTTAAGATTTAAACGGTGATTGTCATGTAAATTTCTAAGAACGACTCGACAGGACTAGTTATTGATTTTATCCATGGAAATGAAATAAAATCTTGTAGTGAAAGGAAATCACTACACAAAATTTAGTTAAAATTGGTTTAATACTTTTTGTGTGAAATGCAGAAAGATATACAGACAAACAGACACAAATTTCAATAACTAATGTTTTGGGGTTTATATTCTATATGTTTATGTTCTATACATACCGGTCATTGTTGTTAAAAAATATGTTAATGTACAGATTTCGCTTTGTTACTATTATATTATATTCTTATTTCTTAGATTATCAGGTTAAGATGGTTCAGAATGTGATTAATTAAATATGAATTTCAATTCAAGAATTGAAATAGGACTGGACTGATTTGGAAGAAATTTTGTGTGCATATTTCGATGGGCTCCTTCCTATATGGTTTTAAAATACAAGTGGACCCGGTAGGTGGCGCTGCATTGTGCCACTGATCGTCTCCTAAACGACAGGGACGATTTTAATGATATTTTTTGTGTATGTCTGAGTGGGTCCCTGCAAAGTTTGAATTCACAAATGGATCCGGTAGGTGGTCGTCATGTCACTAAATTTTCATAAAAGACTCCCATTTTTCGAGCAATAAATAAATTTAAATTGTCGATTAAATAAAATAATAAACGATGTGTGTATGTATGTTTCCTATGGACTCCAAAACGGCTGGAGCGATTTTGATGAAATTTTCAGATAATCTTCAGATTAGCCCAGCGGGTGATCCTGTGAATTTTGTTAGCGGTCGGAAGCTTGGACGCGGGCGAAGCCGCGGGTACTGCTAGTTTTTAATTTAAAAAATATTAGATAATGTGTGTGATACGTTTTGTATTTTATAGACAGGACAGGCTCTAGCGGCATCTGTAGAAATTCTTCGTCGAGCGAACTTAGTGACCGGTGGCGCGGGAGTACTTAATAGCTTAGTACATATAATACTGAAGGTTAGTATTGTGTTATATTATTTACTAGCGATTTACCCTCCCTGAGTAGATATTTAATAAAGAATGTTTTTTTTTTTTTTTTGAGTATGTTTTAATTTTTTTTGAGCGGAAATCTGTATTTCTTTTTCTATAATAAAAGTAGCCTAAGTTACTTCTTATAAGTTCTTAGCTACGCTTGAATCCGAAAGGTGGCACTGTGTTTTTGTCAACTAATTATTTCTAAATTATAGTCTTATTAATATGTACTATTATTATAATTGTGAGGTTTTCTAAAGCTAATGAGCTTTAATTAACTAAAAAAATGAAAAACTGAGTAATGACTCAGTCTTTCATTTTTTTGGTCATTAGTCAGTCAGCTTATTACTCGGTCAGACTTAACCTTGAACGAATTGGGAATACATTCGACAAACATGATAGATTTTAACTTTCCACTTTAAGTGTTATCTTAACAACACTTTAGTTCTTAATTCGTTACAAGATGGCGCTGTCCAATAACTATGAAACAATGATATATAAAGCTTTTTACCCAGGTGATTTTACAGATATAAACTAGTTAGATTTCCTTTGTTTACATATTGTTATACGTTTTTAGTACCACGAGCATGGTGAGAAGCCTACAACGCTGGAGCTCTTCCAGTTCTCCGCATCCACCCTGTTCTTCTATCAGGCAGCATTTTCGAACAGAACTGCCCAACAGATAATCGAAGACGCCCAAGCTAGTACAATTAATGAGTATAGAACTACATTAAGAAGTAACAGGCATCGGTGAGTCTCTTTTTACATTTTTCTAAGAACTCTGTTAAAAGAGTGTTGCGCACGTCTTTTGTGATTTTACAATGTACGGGCGACACGATACTATACTAGTAGTACAGATACCCCCATGACCCATCCCATATAAGGAAATTAAATGAACATAATTCGGGCTATTTCGTTTTCTTAAATCGGCGATAGATGGTGTTGATCCGCAAATTGCCGTGATTTTGTGTTTCTTTGAGTTAATTTAATTAAAGTAACACTTTAACACCTCCAGGTAAATTTCTAAGAAATCTATTGTTAACTGTAACGCCGGCGTGTCCGCGGTTGTTGAGGGATTAACCATTCTTAACCATGAAAAGACTTCTAGTAAACAGCGCCATCTGTGAATGTGCAGTATAAACTGCGAAGTGGCTAATTTTTTAATTACCGGTATTTAGGGTATTTTGATTTTCAGTGTTATTTTATTTATTTATTTACTTATAGATTTTTAAAATTAAAATATTTCTTTTTGCGTTACCTTTTAGTAACCTTTTTGTTTAATATAAACATTAATAACAAACATCATATAAAACACCATCTATTGACAATTATTCCAACTAATTATTCTTTTTTTTTTTGTATTGTCACCTATAATGCATAGGAACAACTCAATGTATTGATTAATTAACAAAACAAACTATTCAAAATCTTTATACAAAAAACGATAACACATTGCTCCATAGCTTTACACATTTATAAACATTACTAAAAAAGTAAATTCCTTGTTACAGTAAAATATTCGACAAAATTGGTGCCGAAACACGAAGAATACAAGGCACAGTGCTCGGCAACACGGAAATTATCAAAGGCATAAAGAATATCGCGAACAAAGATCAATTCTTCGCAGATGCACTCAAATTAAACAAGGATTTGAATCAGCACAAACTTAAAATATCCATGACATCTGATGGTCGGGTGAATTTGAATGCAATGTATAAGTTTGACCCCTCTGAACTTTATGGTATGGGAACAGAGGCAAGGACTCAACTGTTCACATCAATAGGTCCCGCGAACCAGACAACTCCAAACGCACCTACACGTGTATTACCTACTGCAGTCGCTAGTTATAATAATGTGGAACAAGAAGAAAATAGTATTATGGTCGGAATACACCCCGGAGAAGTGATACGTATTGGAACTTTGCTGCTAAGAGTGAGCGCTTCCGGAGCTGAAAATATTGCTGTCATGTTAGATAATGTCAGCCAAGAGGTTTACGGTAATTTGATGACGTTAGCATTCAATGTTCTAAGCAAACTATTGCCAGAAGAGATAGCGAAACTAAGACTGCTCAGTCCAGAGGCAGACCTTGTCGAACAAATTGTAAGCTTCATATTTAATTATTTAAGGTATAACAGACCGCTAGGTGAATGTAGTGATAGTGATAACGGTATTGTAGTGATTCTAAAACAGTTCTTCCAAGATGGACGAATTAGACAAGAAACCATTTTGGAGATGAAAAATACTTTTCTGCATTGGGTTGACGATCAACTGGAAATAAGGCGTCAAATGTATCCGAATAAGAAAAGTGTTATTTGTGATACATGTGCAGGGGTTAGGTTTGTTTAGAGTTGCATATTGTTCACAATATTTTTTACCGACTTCAAAAGGAGGGGTATTTAATTCGAGTTTAGGTTTATTTTTTGTATTATATTTTCGCCTATCATAAACAAACATACTTAAATAATTATGTAGTCGGTTTTCCTTTTTAATTATAAATTTAAATTAGCAAATTTAATCACTCTGAGGATAAAACTTTTTTTTTTAATTATGGAAAATATATTTATAGAGATGAATTAAGTCTTAGTGTAATTAATGCCGACCAAAAATCAAGCAAGAAAGCAACATATGGACGCATCTTACCTTACATCTTATCAATTAATAATATTATCGCACACAACAAGGATAAGGTATTTTGTATTAGTCATTGAAACGATATTTTATTGAAATAAAAGTAGATTATCTGCTTATGGTTTTATACAATTAATATGGAGGGGATTTAGACATGGCCAAAATAGATGTTATCTTCATATAATATATATAGAATACAAATTATCAAAAACATATCAACATGTAATTTTATATACACCTATTTAAAATATTATATTGATCTTTCTAGTACTTATAAATTACAAAAAATTCTTATTGAGATTTTACCAAATGGGCTGAAAATTTGGGCTAAAAATATACTGTAACTTTCGTTCGGTTCGTTTTAACAGTTAGTATATCTCTGAGAAATCTATGCTAAACGTTAAAACGTAAGTAGGGACGAACCCGAGCGATGCGGAGTTGAGTCGCTAGTAGTAAGTAATAACCAAAATAAAACGCAAACTCAACTTGTGTACGACACGTATTGCACGTATGTGATCGTTTATACTACACTGTGACATCACTGACGCCATGTTGCGCAAAATAGTGGTTTGGTGACTTGTTTAACTATTTGTTAAAGAAATACTTAAAAAAAAAGAAATTGTGGGTTCAATAAATACCACAAAATAATTTGGTTTCGGTTTCCAGAAACCACTCAAATAGCCTATTACTGCCTCCGTAAAGAGACCCAAAAATGGTATTAATATGCTACACAACTTGAAATTGGTGAAAATTAGCGAAAAATATTAAAAAAAAATCAAATTAAAAGTATACATTTATATACCAAATTGGACTAAAAATTCAACCTTTTTATTAAAATTTCTGAACTTTTTAATGAATCATATTATGATCTATTTATATAAAAATAAGAATTATATAAACATTGCTTATAGAAGAGAAAAAAAAAATGAAAATAATTAATTAATTTTAAAAGCATTACAATGTCGAGCTAAAATTAAGAGCACTGTGATATTTTAGAATCACCATATGAATGTATTTATTATGAGATTTTAGAAAAAATGTAATGTGCCTTGAAACTCGCACCTATAATTCCATTTATATTGGCTTTAAGAAAATATCTCCTGTCAAATGTATATTATGTACTTTCAAATAAAGTATTATTAAAGTGTTTTATTTATTTATTTTATTATAAATCCTTTATAACGATGCAGATGAAATCTGGTATGTAGACAGATTTATTTATAAGTTGATTTAAAGATTATGAAGATTAATTTTTTTAATTTTAAAATTTATATAACTTAAAAGTGGAGTTTTTTTATACTTGATATATTATACTGATTAATAAAAGAAAAAAAAGAAAAAGTCGGTGTGCTTTGCTTTGTATCGGTTGGCACCGACTTCGAAAATATTTGATTAGGTATGTATAGTAAATGAAAACTACCAATCAGTTATTTTTTACTTTTTAGTGCTTTTTAGAAGTCGGTTTTTATTTTTTTGTTAAAAACTTTTCGTTTTTCCCTTTTTAGTGTAGACATATTAGTAGCAAAGTAAGAAGAAAGTATTTTGATAAAATATTCGCTTAAACTGTTCTAGTTACTTTGATGCCAATTTTTATACGAAGACTAAAATTCGCTTTTATTAGTAACACTAAAAATTCTGACTCTAAAATCCGATTCTATCATGTTAGGCTTGTCAAATCAAACAAAATAAGCCCGAACTCAAAGTATCTATTATTAGCCGTTGAAGAGTTCCGCCTATCCAACTTCTGGCCTTACCATCAAATCAGGTCAACGATACCGAAACACTGCACTATTAACAGAAATAGACACACTCGCAAAGTTTCAATTCAATAATTGACAATAAGAAGTAGTAAGTAGGTTAAATTCATCATTAGCTATTTTTCCACCCTTAGGGGTGGTTTTTTTTTTGAAATTTAAATGGGACCAATCTGGAAGGACTTTCAAACAAAACAAAAATTGTCTAAATCTGTTAATAAATGACGTAGTTCTGAGGTAACAAACATAAAAAAAACATACAGCCGAATTAAGAACCTCCTTTTTGAGGAAGTCGGTTGAAAATCAAAGCTAAATTCTGTCCGCGCAAATATGTACCTACTTATACCACGGTAATGTTACCTACAGTATTCCATCTTCATACAAACGGTCGGAAATCGAGTTATACCTACGCGCGTCGCGTTCGGTATACACTCGGTAGACAACCGTGCGGGGCTGCCACATCGTATAATTTGATACGAAAATTTTATAAGATGGTTATGATATGTAACTTTTATAATTGGATACAATAATAAAAATTTTATTCCTCCCGTAAATTCGCTATTATGTCAAACAAAAAATATCGAGACATCGTATGTTTTAAAAATAAAAACTAATTAATTAAATTAAAAATAAAAGTTAATGTATTTTTATTTAAACTTTTTATCCAAATGCAGATTCTTTATACTATTAAATTTAACAATAAAGCTTTTCTTATGTCTCAGTCGAGGCGCGATTATTTTTTAATCTCAAATTTATAAGGGTCACATGCCACCTTTATAAATTTGAGATTTTTTTATTGAATCTACTTATAATATTTTTTAAATAAAATATATAATATTTGAAATCACAAAACTAGAAAGAAACTCAAGTAGGTAGATGAAATTAAAATACTCTCCAGCGGGCACTCGGGCAGCCCTGTCGCGTGGGTACGTGCCGCTTTTTTTCGTAACCATCACCATTCCTTAGATATCGCGATTCTAAAAGTTGAAGGTGTTACATTGTAATATTATGATATACACACAAATACCACGTATATACGTAGTCAGAAACTTAATTTAAATAACTACCACTAATTGGTAAGTACCACTAAGTTCGAACCAGTAAATTTATTAAAAAATAAGCATACGTCGTATTAAAAATATTTATTATTTATATCCATATTACAACCAGATTAAATGAAAACAATTAAGCATTGCTTTGGATCCATGAAGTGTAGCGACTAACACGAGCATTAACACCGGGGTAGTAACGTTCAGCACATCCCTCTCCCCAGGAGCAAACACCGACGATGGTTGTGCCGTGAAGAAGAGGACCACCAGAGTCTCCTTGGCACTGATCACGTCCGCCAACGTCGAGCCAGCCAGAGCACAGCATGTTGTCGGTAATAGGGCGAATTAGAGCATAGCGGTTCCTGCAGGTGTTTTGGTTCACGGTCCATATTTGTACGTGGCGAAGTTGCTCTGATGGAGCGCCTCCAAACTAAATAAAAATTAAAAATATATATAAATGCTCCCTAATTAAATATAATGTTGTAGTATTGTATAAATCCTGACATCTTTGTACTTTAAATATTTTATTTTTTCACGCCGGCGCGGGCGTGTCAGTTAACAATAGATTTCTTAGAAATTTATCTGGAGGTGCACAATAAGAATATTATATAAAGTCTATATACATAATATATATTTACCGTCGTACGTCCCCATCCGATAGCCCACACAGCCTGGTTGTCAAGGAGATTGTAGTTATGGTCAGCAATGCGTCCAGGTTGGACATTGTTATTGTATATGAAAGCGGAAGTCACTTGAAGAATAGCAATGTCATTGTCATAGGTTCGAGAGTTATGGTTATATTGTGGATGATTAATGAGTCTGCTGGTCTGGTGAACGACACCACCGCTATGAGCGTTGGTAGAACCAACACGTACTCGCCATTGGGCAGCTACATCTCCACTGAAATATATAAAAAATGTTATTTATTTAGAATAAAAAAAAATAAAGGCACTAAATTAGCGCAATAATCCAAGTGGAAATTTTTCATTACAAAAATCTTTATTTGGGCATTACATAAAATTATACACGCGCTAAGTCCATTGATATAAAATATAACTACATTAAATCTTGCTCTTTAGTTAATTTTACACAATAAAAAGAGATCCTTTAGGCTACATTTTATTCACATTATGAAAATAATAAAATATATTACATAAAATGTAAACGTTGAAGAATTTAAATACTATAGGCTAAATTAGGAGTTTTGAGGACCCCCTCCATGGTGCGTTCACCTTTTCGTGGTGGGGGGCTCAGTAGTGCCCGGCAATCCCGCCGGGCGCGAAGCTAAGAAACGCACTGGGATGTGGGAGGTGGCCCACCTTGGTGGGCGGTGTGCTATGCGGGTTGCTCCTGGTACTTGTCTGATAGCAGAGTGGACTGTGAAGCAACCCTATGGTTGTTGTGGTCTGCTTCGACAGACCTGCCGGTCTCGGTCCGGTCGGGTCGTTATGGTTGAGTCCCATTAAGACGGTGGGGTTCGTTGGGTTTTAGTGGGTAGTACTGGCTTTGCCGGTGAGTCCCACACCTCGAGCTTAAATGCATTTCCCAACGTTAAAAAAAGGGGGTTTGAGGACGCATATTATGTCTCGATTATTTTTTATAAAAAATTTAAATAAATAGATAATTAAGATAAACCGATAGTTTTCAATTTCATTTTTAAATGATCTACTTACGCAAAGCAGTGAGCCGCTGAGAGAATTGATCTGTTGTTAATAATTGCACCCCCACAACTTTGGCCGAAATTTCCAAGACCAGACCAAGAGTATAATAAGACAGCAGCGTATGGGTAACGATCAATGGAAGTTACCGTTCCTCCAACAATCCTTTGCGGATTCGATGGTGCGGCTGCAAATATTTATTTTTACTAAAGTACGATATTATTATGAACAAGTCTTAATTTTAGAAAACTACAATAATAAAAATCAATAATAATTATTTTAAAAAATCCACGTACCTATTGCCACTGCCAGGCAAAGAGAGAGCAATATAACCACCCTCATTTTTTGACTCGAATAACTAAATGTTTGCTGCACTATACCTTTATATACTTTATTTTCATTACATAAATGTATATCAAACTTTTTTATCTATTTTGTACAGATAATATATTTGAATTAAAATTATCTAATTAATCCTAGATAATATTTATTCCATTTAAAAAATGACTCCCGAGTGAAGTTGTAATGGTATGAATCTTCAGAGTTCAGTCTATTAGTCCATTATTTACAGAGAGATATTAGTCCAGTCCACGGATACAGACTAATAAAATGTTAAGAAATGTTCTCAATGAAATTGTTCAATATTCATTGTTTTTTAATAATATTTAAAATCTTTTTATTAAATTAGAAATATTGTTTAATTTGATTAGTTCTCTAAAACTTTTTATTAGTATTTAATAAATCTCAAAGTTTTTATCCGACTTCCAAAAAGGAGAAGGTTCTCAATTAGGCCAAATCTTTTTTTATGTATGTTCACCGATTACTCGAATACGCCTGAACCGATTTGGAATTTTTTTTTGTTTCAAAAGGTATACTTCCCAGGTGGTCTCATATAAATTTTATCGAAATCGTTCGAGCGGTTTTTTGAAAAATCAACAATATTTTTTTTTACATAAATTGCTTTATCGAATATGTTTTTAAAAAACTTTCTTCTTACAAATTACTTGCATATTACGTTTATACTAAAAATCGAAAAAATAACTAAACGGGGGTTTTCATTTAGAATAGATACTTAATCAGATATTTTCGAAGTCGGCGCCGTAAACTTTGTATCCCGGTCGGATACAGAGTTTTTACTTTTGTTTTTTTTTGTATTCATTCAAATTTTTAGTTTGTTTTTTTTAATGTTTATCCGGCCAAAAACCTCGAGCGAAGCTCGGTAACCCAGTTACTGTGATTTAAAGTTTCTTCGGAACTTTGTACTGTTTTTCAAATGTAAAAACCCATGTAATAAATCTATTAATCTTTTAGTCTGTTGACACGTAAATCTATACGTTCGATAAATATGTACCTATGTGATTAAATTTCGAATGGTTAAGTCTTAGCGTGTCTTGAAACTTTATCAATTTCGTTGTGTTAATAGTAATCCCTATGATAAGCCAGGATTAACATTTGCTTACAGAAAATCTGTCACACCTACATACATCTCTGACCAGTGACCATAGCTGGAGAGCTCGTGACGAATTTTGGGAAGGTCCTTTTGACAAGTTGAAATTGTGAAAAAATATAATTTCGTGAATTGGCGAGTCCAGTCCTGCGAGTCTGGTATAGCTTTAGCGGTTATTTCGTTACTGCGCAGTATATAACATATGCAAAAAAAAATATATATATCTAAAAAAACATATTTTTGGCAACTTAATTTTTGTTCAATCTTTTAATTTAGTTTTCATATAATTCAAAAAAAGAACCCAAGACGCTTTTGTCTGTTATAAAGTATTGCCATACCTCTCCAAAGATGCTTTATTAAAATTCCCAAAAAATATACTTTTAGCAATCTGAAATTTTAACCACGTATTTATTGAGTAATTTTCAATAATACTTGCAAATCGCCAGACGAATTTACCGGTTATAAATCATTCCCAGACGTAAATAAAGTTTACAAATTAGTACTACAAAAAAGTCTTATGTTGACTATATGTTGACTAGGATAACCAGATGAAATTTGGTATGATGATATACCAAATTTCATCAAAATCAGTCCAGTAGTTTTCTCGTGATGCGGTGACAGACAGACAGACAGACAGACAAAAATTCGAAAAACTATAGATTCAGCCTCTGTATCGATAATAGTAACTATATCAATAAGATTTTCCAAAAAATATTTAATGTACAGATTCGGCTCAGTTAGAATTTTATTATATGTATATATAGATTAAAAATATCTAAAGTTGGCAACACTACTAAGTAATTACGTTAAGTTAAAATACTACTAATATGTTAAAACAATACATAATGTCTCTTGCTACGGAACGATATTCGAGTCAGACTCGCACTTATCCGATTTTTAAAAATAATATTTGTTTACAATTTTAACATTTTGCGATACAATAATATTTATAAGTAAGGATATTAATCAAAATTCCCTGTGTATGATTTTTACTATGACATGTTTATCCGTATATTTATCATTATGTAAGTATTTTACTGTTACTGTTGTAAAGTATATAAAACATCAATAGTGCAAAAAACGTGTTTTAATTTCCGATCGCTGAACTCATAGAATGTAACGATATAAATATTTTAAAACTAAAAGAGATGCCTTAAAAACACCAAAATCAATCTTTTTAGAGCTATCTTTTCCACAATGTGCGTTGCAACTTGATGATCAAATTAAATTTTATGAACAAGTATCCGAAGCAATCATTTTAAATCCTAAAGACACATTTTTATTAGTTGGAGATTTCAATATCCCGGCCGCTAATTGGTCTCAAGTTGATGATACTAACGTCACTAAACTGTTACACACACCCAGAGATTCAAATTCTCAAGTCAGCCTATTATCTACTTTTTTACGAATAAATAACTTAAACCAGTTTAACATTATACCCAACGGTAATAATCGATATTTGGATCTGGTGATTAGCAATTCTAATTGTATTAGTGTAAAACACTGTGAAATACCTTTAGTTAAAGAAGATTCACATCACCCCGCTCTAGAAATTGAATTAAGCAATTTACTATCTAACTTTCTCACGAATGCTCCACGAGTTGTTAAACTTTTCCGTAAAGCGAATTATCATGAAATTAATAAAAGGTTGTTTGAAATTGATTGGCCGGAGTGTTTTAAGTCTTTAGATATAGAGCGTGCAGTTGAAGGATTTTACGAAATCATTAATCCTGTTATTGATTCTCTTGTTCCCACTAAAATTGTTCTTGTTGATAATAAATATCCCATTTGGTATACCTCTGCGTTAAAAAAAAATTACTAAGGAAAAAATAAAAGTCCATAAAAAATGAAAAACTTATGAAAATTATAGTGACTATTGTACTTTTCGGTTGCTGAGGAGGAGACAAAAAGTAGTTGATACCGAATGTTATAATAACTATCTGAAATACGTTGAAAACACAATTGCTAAGGACTCTAAATACTTTTGGACATTTGTAAAATCTAAAAAGCAAAGCGCTGACTTACCTGACATGTTTTACCTGGATAATTTTTCTACAGATAATGGACAAGAGATTAGCGATCTTTTCAACTACTATTTTTATTCTTCTTTTGAGCAGACTCCCATTAAGTATACCCCAAATATTAAAGAAGACGTTCACCCTCGCTGTAATAGCATGGACCTTTCTTCTGTTAATATTTCAATGCTGACTGTTGATAAATACTTAAAATCATTAAACATAAACAAGGGCTGTGGTCCAGACGGTGTACCTGCTATATTCTTGAAGAGATGTAATGAGAGGCTTAGATTACCCTTATTTATTCTTTTTTCTCTATCTTTACGGACGTGCACTATGCCTTCACAATGGAAAAGGTCATATGTAGTACCTATCTTTAAAAGCGGTGATAAGCATGACATAAAAAATTACCGTCCTATTTCGAAACTAAGTTGTATCCCTAAGATGTTTGAAAAGATGGTTTATGATACAATGTTACCCGTTATTAGACCTTTAATTATTGAACAACAGCACGGTTTTATTAACAGAAAATCTACTGAAACGAATCTTTGCGAATTCACTGATTTTGTTACGTGTGCAATGGATAATGGATATCAGGTGGACGCCGTGTACACAGATTTTTCTAAGGCTTTTGATAAAATATCTCACCTTATTCTTATAGAAAAATTAAAATACATTGGTGTACACGGCGACCTTCTGCGTTGGATTGAGTCGTACCTTAGTAACCGTAGTCAAGCAGTAACTATAAAGGGTTACTGTTCATCTTTTATTCCAGTCCCGTCTGGGGTAACCCAAGGATCCCATCTAGGTCCCTTATTATTTAATGTATACTTAAATGATATTAACCTAGTTTTCAAGCACTCCAAATTTTTACTATACGCTGATGATAATAAAATATTTAAAATTATTAAAGGTATAAATGATTGTATTGATTTCCAGAATGATTTAGATCGGTTTAGTGATTATTGTTCAATGAATTCTTTGTTCTTGAACATTAAAAAGTGCAATGTTATTACTTTTACTCGAAAACGTTTAACTTTTAATTACCAGTACAAATTAAATAAAGAAATTATTTTCAGAGCTAGTGTGGTTAAAGATCTTGGAGTTATAATCGACTCCAAGTTACTCTTTGATGAGCACGTCGCTTATATAGCTAACAAAGCTTATCGTATGCTGGGTTTTGTACTGAGGATATCCAAAGAGTTTAAGCAACCGTCAACACACATTCTTTTGTACAACACCTTCGTGAGATCTATCTTGGAGTATGCTTCTTCTGTTTGGAACCCTCAGTATAAGAATCATATTTGTAGAATCGAACGTATACATGATCGATTTATTAAGAACCTCCCAGTAAACATTTCTATTAATAATAAGAAAATTTGTATCCTTATGTCAGCAGTTGAACGACGTGCTCAACGAGATCAAGTCCTTTTATATAAGATCTTGAATAACGAAATCGATTCGCCGTATTTATTGTCTAAACTACAATTTAAATGTCCACGAAATATTAATCCCAGACAAAAATCCACTTTTTATGTCCCTGCTACTAGAACTAAATTTGCAAAAAATTCATTTATCAATAGAAGTTGTGATCAGTATAATAAACTCTTTATTAGTAATGACATATTTCATCTCTGTCTTAATAAATTTAAAATTAGTGTTATGTACAATTTGATTAATGCAAGCTGTTATTGATTTTATTATTTTACATTATTAATTTAAAAATGTGTTATTTAATGAATTATATTCTAAGGATTTTATTTATTTTTTGTAATTATTGATTGTATGGCATTTCTCTCTCTCTCTTTTAAATTTGTAAGTCTTTTTTTTATTGTTATTTTTAATATTTTGCATCTGTATCCATGTCTTTGTTATAAGTGTTATTTTAACAACGGAAACTATTATTGGTTATGTATTATCAATTGTTTGTTATTCTAAGTTTATCTTGTAACACCGTTTGTTTCCTTAATAAATAAATAAATAAACTCTACAAACCTCTACTCTACTAACTCTGCATTTCTTATTTTGAGATAATGACATTAAAACTTTTTTAATGAATGCAATATATTATTCATAATTTATTATCTTTTTTATTTAGTGACATCTTAAGTCATGTCATGTGATTATTTCTGGATTATTAGTTGTATATTAGTAATATAATAATTTTCATTAGGTATTTTATTTTAATTTTCATGTGTTCATAATGAAAATACCCTTTGGAATTATTTTAGGTCCTATTTTGAAATCAAATTTTAGTAATACTAGATTGTTTTGCCAGCATTCCACGCTTTCTATCAGTGTTCCTTATACTTTTGTCTACAGTACCGTTGGAGTGGTTGGTATAATCTAACTTTAGTATCAGTAGTACAAAAGATAACGCACTACTATATTACTGATTACTCAAAAACAATTTACGTATTATTAATGATGTATATCGAAATAAAATTCATTTCTTTGCATTTGATCGCAGTGCATAAATGCTCATAATTTGAAGAAATATTTGGGTGAAATACCATTGTTTACTGACTTAACAGAAGAATGCAGCAATGATAATCGTAATGCGATGCTTGATCATGATCTAAAAATAATCGCTATGTCGATGGGATTATTGCAATATAGTTGTCTTTTGGCTGGATGTTTCACTGTGAGAATATACTTTATCACACTAATATTATAAATGCTAAAGTTGGTATGTATCCTATCCTATAAGTTGACCTAAGTAACCGGCTATCATCATACCAAATTTCATCAAAATCTGTCCAGCGGTTTTCTCGTATTACGGTCACAGACAGACAGATAGACAAAAATTCTAAAAACTATAGATTTGGCCCTTGTATCGAAATAATGACTATTTCAAGAAGATTTTTTCAAAAAATATTTAATGTACAGATTCGATTCAGAATTTTGTTATATGTAAGTATGTATAGACTACGGTCTTATGATAATCTAAAGATATAATTATTCCCGAAAGTCAAAATGCAATATAAGAAATAGTTACTTTTGACTGGCTAAAAAAAGAAAGAATAAAATTAGGTGAATGATTTTGTGTATGTTACTGGATATTTTCCTCAATTGTGAATTTTACGAAAAAAATTACACCTTCGCGTCAAAAAAATTAAGACATTGATGTGACAAAAAATATTTTAATGCAAAAATAATTATCACTTATTATTTCTTAATCAAGTAATAATAATTAAGTAATAAGTAGTAAATAACTTGAACAATCTAAAGATAAATTTGGTCCTCTTGAAAGAAGGTAATTGGACTGATTTGGAGGAGCTAGAGAGTCTAAATATATGTAGGTTTTAGGTACTAAATCACGTAAAATGTACATAGTTCCATATGCTAATACTTGTATTTATAATATAATACTTGTATGTTATAATACTACTATTGTTTTAATCTACGCTTATAAAGATTAGTACCTATCATACGAACTCAATACTTGCGCCATGTAATATGTACGACACTTATCAATTCAATCAGGATGTCATAAGTATGTTTTCTCATCTTAGTATGAAAAGCAGGCACAAAATAACAACCGTCTAGTGTCTACCCATATCTTTAGTTTATTAACCAACAAGTTTAATATTTTAAATCTTACATTTCAGGAAAATCCATCCCTATTTCTGCCATATTTAGCGGGACAATTGATCATTGTGTGTTTGAAAATAGTTAACGCCTCAATCCTTCTAATACATATCGATATCAAGGCTTTGAATAAATTTCACCACAAGTTAACTACGATTGCATTAATGATGTTCAACTGGTTCCAAGGATTTTGTGTTTTTCGAAAGCATTTGTGCATTTGTGATCTATAAATCATTAAAAATACATATATGATTATTAAATTTGCTTGTAATTGTTATTATTGATCGACATAAAAAAGGTGGAAATACTTTTGAGCACACCTTGGTGTATGGTGTTTTTCTAAATTTTTGCCTATGGCGTCTACCATAGGCAGGTCTAATTATGATTTTTTGTCTTTTTGATAAATAGGTATTGTTCAAAAAATTAGATACACAATCAGCGGTAAAAAATGTCCTCACCGAATGAGAGCTCCATGGACGAATTAGAGACATTCGTTCATGGAGAGCTCATTTGAACATTTTGAATTTTGAACGCGCTTTTAACTTTTTTTTTTGAGAAAACAACTTCAAGCATTACATTGAAGGTTGAATTTACATTGTTGTATATTTATTTCGACTACAATAATTACCTAAAGTCCACTCATTCTTTCATTTACACTTCACCCATTATCATAATATAATATATGCACATTTTCTCCCACAGTAATAAATATTCATTTTTGTAAGTAATAATTATTATAATATTAATAATAATTATTAATAATAAATATATATTTTTTTAAATAATACATATTAGAAAACTATTTTTTTTATTATTAATAATAAATTTGACTCTTACTTCCGCGACATATGTAGTTACTTCCATGAACTCATTTTTCCAATGTATTTACTTACCACTAAAGAAGTACTCAGTCACTAAAGAAGTTTTACTACAAAAATACTTGACAAATGTAAGTCAATTCGTACTTTTCAAAAAGTGAACAAAATGCCTTAAGTCATCAGGTAGACTACAATTTATTACAATGTTTATTTGATATTACAAATCTCAAATGCTGATAATTCGCACGACACTCATGGAATAAGCCAATTTATTACTCATGCTATAGTTTTTGGTACACGAAAATCACACCGCGAAAGTATGGAAATAGAAAGCGACTCCCAACTTCTTGAGAACATTAGACGTAAACATGAGAATCATGCGAATACGGTGAGTTGAATGGCGTTTTTCAGTACTATTTTACAGTATTTTTTTTTGTGTTCTGCATCTGTAGGATTAGATTTACCTTTGTTGTCTTCATACATAAATAATAATATGAGATAGACACAATGGACTTGAGACCTGGAAAACAACATCTGTCTCCCGCCTCTGGTTTGAATTCATTGGCAGTCCAGAGTGGAGCGCAAGAGCTAAGTGCTCGAAAGTGCTCGGGTGGTAGTGCTCAATCTGCGTAATAACCCGCTCACGAGCACTCTCGCGATGGTGAAACCGGTGCACACCTTTCAACACCTTTAGCCGACTACGCCGATGTTGCGTCTGAGGCACTATGCCGTTTTGTGTGTCTGTGGGAGGCGAGTCACCGTCCGTCAAATATTCAATCTCAGATTGTTGAGAAAACAGACGTCCGGTGGTCTCATCCAATAGCCCAGTTTTGTAGCCCATCCAAACCCCATTCCATAGACCCTTTTAGTTTTCCATATTTTTCATAGTCCGTCTACCCATTATCAGGAGACCATGTTTGAGCAATTCCCCATGGGTTACTCAGAGATGGACCCGGTTGATGTGTCACATTAAACAAACTTGAATCTCTTAAGGGGCCTCTACGTGTTGGACCTGTGTCCCCACGCAAGCCTTCCAAAAAACTCCTTCGAGCCCGTGAAATAATAATAATAAAAATGCCCTAATGACCGATTTCGGCGGCGGCTAATCACTGAGACTGGGAGATATTATAGAAGATAAGTGGACGCGTAGACACAATTGCACTCTCTACTCCTTTTACTCTCAATTTCCTATGGGACGATAATTCTTGACGACCGGTGAGTTTTAAGGCGTAGGATCAACGTCTTTACGTGCTCTCCGAGACACGGGAGTACAACACCACCAATTTCCCAACTTCGGACTAGTACTGAGAATATCTTAACAGAAAAATTCAGTAATTAAACTTGGCCCGACCCGAGGCTCAAATCCAGGACCCCCAGATCTGCAGCCGTACATGCTAGCTACTAGACAACCGAGGCAGTTAATAAAAAAAATATATTAAACTAAATTTAAATTTATTTAACAGGCTTCTTCAGTAAACATTGAGAATAATGATGGGATCCGCGTAAAATTGCGAGCACTCTTAGTAGCTTTATTAGGAGTGTCGATGTCGGCTTGCGCTTTTGCCTCACAGCCTGTTGAACTAGAACTGGACGACGAAGAAGTAAGCCAAAGGCTGAACAATGTTAGCTTTGGAAGACGGTAAGAGATCTTAAATAACTGTGATAGAACATAATAATTATATGTAACTAGCGGCTCACCCTCGCTTTACGTTTTAAATATGTATAAGTTATTACCCAGCGTTAGCCATATAAATAATATGGTTGTTAAGTATTCTTAAATTTTATAATTTTCCGCGCAATTTTTTAAACTTTTTCTTTCATAAGAACCTTCTCCTGACAATAACAAACACAACAAAAAAAATAGTTAAATCGGCCCAGCCGTTCACGCGTGATGGCGTGACCAAGGGAAATAGGGATTCATTTTTATATATATAGATATTTTTTCGACACTTTGTGCATAAACAGTCTGGTGAATTTTAATATAATATTACAGTGAAATTCGTCGTTATTGGGGAAGGTTCTCTTTTTATTTTCTTAATATTTTTTACTTTATCAATTACTTTTAAGGCTCCGTAACCAAAGACTAGATATAACCCTATAACAATCTGTCCTGTCCGTCCATCCTACCTTTAAAACGGCATTAGTATTTGAGTCGTTATAATAGTTTTAAAATATCAAATATTTGCGTAAATCTAAGTAAATATTATCTCATAATAATATGTAATTTTAAAATAAACAGTTGCGCTTATATGTTATTTTTAGTACAATTTATATAACGATTTTTAAAAGTTAATAGGTTTTTTAGAAGTTTAAATAACGAACACACCTAGTTGTTAAAGTTTTTGTTAGGTTAATTATTATGTATTTTTTTAGCATAACGAAACCAACTATCCGCCTAGTTATTGGCTATGGCAAATTAAGTGCTTTCATAACTGCTTCTACTTCTTTACTACTTCTCGTTGCTGTCATGTCGAAGGTATCCTAGCTATATACTGTCTCGTAATCTAACATTTTACCTTCCAAACAATTGGAACTTTTTAACACTTTTTAAGTATTTTATTTCAAAATAATTCAATATCTTTACCCTACTTACTAAATTAAGTGTCAATATAAAACTAAGAAGTAAATTAATTTCTAAAATAACTTAAATCTTAATATTATTACATTAAAGTTGACTGGAACGATTATTGTATTTGATGATTTATCCTAGCTATAAAGAAAGCTTTTAGCTGAAAGTGGATATCATAATGAAGTATCACTACGATTTCTCTTAAAAGGACAACAGACAAACAAGTAGTACCCCAATTTTTTTCAAGTTAACCATTTTAACTATCTTGGTTTTAGCAATCTTGGTGGCGTCATGGCGCAAAATGGCTAGCATTGCCAGCGCTACTTGTAACTGCACTAGAAGTTGCGTCTGACGCGAGTGATGCTCTATTAGCTGCCTTGCTGCGAGGATCTGCTGAGCCAGTTCTTGTAGCCACGCAGACAGTAGCTGCATGTCTATTGATCACTGTTGAAATTCTTGTTTGGTTAGTCTCGAGTTATGTTCAAATGAAAGTCACTTAACTTTTGCAGAATCAATATTGGGTGTACCTAACCATGATTATGGCGCTTGCAACAGTGCTGAAATTTTAGAAGTGAAAAATGTAGTAAATAACTTGTTAATTTTACATAATTCCGAGTTATCTGAAAACTGAAATTTTATTATAATTGACATTTTACGGCCGACAGGTGTCTTATAAACAAGACAAGTCTCTACGGTTTGGCGAATAAGTTCATGTTGCAGTTTCTAGGTTTCTCATTCATTTCTTTTATCACATAAGTCAAATTTATACAATAAATATCGCTAATAGAAACTAAAAATATATGGAGAAAACATATTTTGATAAAAAGTCTTTAGTAGCGATAATAGTAATTCCAGAATATCCTTTTCTCTAAAACCGCTGATAACAAGTTACTTAGTGATAAGGTATTATCAGAAACCTGCTAGCTCTGCAAGCATAGTTTGCATTTCCTGGTGACCTAAATTAGCGTTCTAAAATTGAGATACTGAATGAAGTCATGATTTCAAATATCTATTACAATTTCATAGTTTTTAATAAATAATTAAATTTTATTTTATTCACAGGTATTTCATAGCAAAATTCTTCGAATATAATCCACCTCCCATCCCTAATGAAGTTAAGAAGCAAACTATGACAAAACAAATTATAATTCATAATGTTCAATGAAAAGACAAAATCTACCAGCCATTTTAAGCAATAAATTATTGTAATCAATATCTACGGCCATTTTTTTATAATAAACTAGCGACTCACCCTCGCTCCGCTCGGGTTCGTCCCTACTTACGTTTTAACGTTTAGTACCTATAGATTTCTCAGAAATGAGATTTTTTCCCGCAATAAAAAGTGTCCTATATGTTGACCCGGATAACCAGCTATTATCATACCAAAGTTCATCAAAATCCGTCCAATGGTTTTGCGTAATGTGGTAACAGACAGACAGACAGACAAAAATTCTAAAAACTATAGATTCGGCCTCTGTATCGATAATAATGTTTATTTCAATAAGATTTTCCAAAAAAATAATGTACAGATTCAGCTTAGTTGCAATTATGTATAGATACATACGTAGGTACTTCATTATTACTGTATAACAATAATTTAGATTTAACTAGTTCTGATTTTACTGATAGATAACATATGCCACTCCAATATTAATTTATAGATTTTAATTTATTCAACTTAAATTATGCAAAATTGGCCTAACCTGCTAAGACTTTGTATATTTTGTATTTTTATGACTTTTTTTTAATAACAGTAACATTAATATTACTAAAATTTAATATTTTTGAAAATAAACCTTTAGAGAAGTTGAATAAAATTATATTTTAATGACACAATATCAAAATACTTCACAATTTATAAGTGACTATTGACAAATAAATATGTCTTAAAATAAAATGTTTAAACAAAAATCCCACTTAAACAATGTTATGAATGATACGAATATTCTCGCAATAAACATCATCACTAAAAAATCCAGAACATTGGTTCAAAAGCGTCTCTTTAATCGCGAATTTCGGATCGAGTCTATGACAGCCGGAAGAGAAGAGTTGAGCGAGGAAGGGATGATGTCGTGACGAAGCTGCTACAAAGTAACCTTCAGGGCTTAACAATAGATAATTTGGCTTTTGTTTTCCTGGGCCAGAAAGTTTTGGTACAGAGCTTATTACTCTATCTGGCATGAGGTAAGCCGGACCAATTTCGTCCGAAAACGTAGATATATCATAGAAAAACAAAACTTTCGGTATCTCCGTAAAAAGTGAGATATTTTTTACTTTGACATCATATCTTTTAATTAAATCTATTTCATTATTTATTGAACTATTAATTTTCGTCACATTTCCTTCCTTTGTATCTATTGTAATATTCGAAACTGTATTAAAATTTTGATTTGAGTAGTTGCTTAAATTTGTGTCCTTGTTAATAAAATCTATTTCATTATTGTTAAGAACAGCTTCACGTTTTTTTCTTTGAGTTCTAATTTCAAAATTATCTTCTATATTTTTAATATTCACGTTGAAAAATGAACGTGTTTGGTTGAAAACATTATCGATGAAATCGAGAAACATTGAAAATACTTCATTTTGTTCATCTTTATCAAATGAATTTATAACATTTGCATATTTGTCCGGTTCTATACCTTTACTATGTTCTTTTAGTATAGCGTCAATTTTATAATCTAAATCTTGATTAATATTAAACTGATTGTTAACAGTAACAAGATCAAAGCCGACTCCACCATTTTGCCAAATTTCATATATCCTAGCATAAAAAGTTAAGTATCTTCGTGGAATCGTTTTCCACTTAAATCGTAATGGTGTCATTTCCATATATTTGCTTAGATATGTCACATTGATATTTATATTTTGAAACCTTTTCTGAAAATCTCTAATTTCACGCTTATTATTTTGCTTGAATACAGTATTAAACGATCCGGCAATATGTGGTATCAATCTGTTAATAAGTTTTGGCTGGCGGTCATCGATTAAAAAATAAACCTGAAAACGCAACAGTGGGTATTCTCTCGCCATGAACGAGAGATATTGAGAATAAAACGTGAAAGGGACATAATCCTGTGATAAAATACTGTGATAAAATACACCACTCGCTGGTTTAGTATCATTACACTTCACAATGACGACAGGGTGCTGTGGTCTCATGGCTAAAGCATAAATTACTAAAATTGATATTGCTAATAACATTATAGTCATCCAGCAAGTAGAAATAAATTCTGAAACAACAAAATCGATTCATTAAAACCTTTAAGTTATTATGTGAATTGTATTGAGCATCGAGGGTTTCATATTTAATTTACAAGTAGTTTCATACTGAACAATGCAAATATTATACTGCTAACCAGGCCAACGTTTACACCAGGACTGTTTTGAACTACACGTGACATTCCATCCAGGAGACGTAGTAGTTGGGGAAGATGGAGCTTGGACTTTACTATCCCCACCACCTCCTTCAACTTTTAATAGAGGAAATTGTTCATCACGTTTCATTTGAGGGCTAAATTCTGTCATTGTACGCCTCTGAAATATAATGCACTGTAACTAAATATACCTATTATATGTTTTAGTGGAAATTTGTATAAACAATTCTAGATTGGAAATAAGGTGGTATATATAATACATAAGCTTTTACTATTTATTTGCGATTAAAGTTTCGTTCATATATGTAAAACGCTTTTGATGTTTGACAATGAATTTTGAAATTCTATTTTTAAAATATGTATAACTATACAAGGCAATTTTTTTTTAGTTTGTAATCATATTTTAATAAAAATAATATAAACTTTCCCTTAATATTTTATATTTGTTTATTTCTTTATTTATACGTATGTAATAGGTTTATTTCATTTATCTCTGAAACGACTCTAACGATTGGGATAAAATTTTGTATTTAGATAACATTTTGCTTTTTAATTTTATCTATTCATAGGAGTCTTTTCTAAAAATAAAACAATTCTTATATCTCTTGAGTGAGCGAAGCGCGGTCGCCCACTTAGGTACTTAAATATTAAATGTGCATATTGTACACTGGAGTATACTATATGTTAAAAATATTCAATCTCTATAAAGGAAGTGTAAGTATATTATTTAGTGGTTTTCTCGCTTAAGAAATAATATTGGAATAAATAACAAACTACTGGACTCCAATAAGAATGGTCATATTTCTATTAGAAATACGAGCAATACAATCTGAACCCAGAGAGAATTTTCAAATAACACATAATATGATCTGATTTAGTATTCGACAACGGAAAAAATATCTTTGGCATATGTTTATATTCAGGTTGCGAGTGGCTAGATATTCAAATAGCAAGCTCAGCTTATTTGCTAGTAGTTTGTTGCGGATATATCAGCAACAAAGGGAGCCGACACACATGCGATTAGCTCGGCAAATTCTCGTTATTATGTTTTAGGAATACTTAATCAATCAGCGGTGTTACCAAATCTGTACATATAATAAAATTGTAACTAAGCTGAATCTGTACATTAAATATTGTTTGGAAAATCTTATTGAAATAAATATTATTATCGACACAGAGGCCGAATCTATAGTATTTAAAAATTTTGTCTGTCTGTCTGTATGTCTGTCTGCCTGTTACCGCATCACAAAAAAACCATTGAAGGCATTTTGATGAAATTTGGTATGGTGATAGCTGGTTATCCGGGTCAACATATAGGATACTTTTTACCGCGGGAAAATGTCTCATTTCTGAGAAAAAATACAAAAACTGTAATGTAAGAGTACACTAATATGTAAAACCTAAGAATTTGATTTTTAGTCATCTGAACGCAGGCGAAGCCGCGGGAAATGATAGTCAAATATGAATGCTTACTCTAATACATTATATACTTTAAAGTATAGTAATTTGCACATTACCTATTTGGTGTCTTAAATGTCTGCATTAGCGTTTCTTATAAAAGTAGGACCACACTAAAGTTAACGTTGTTAATTAACAAACGAGGTAGATAATGGAACTCCTCAATGGTAAATCGTTAGGGATTGGGTGTATTTAAACAATTTCAATACGTTTCAATTCGACAATTGGGATTTCGGAATTTAATTTTTAGTGCATTTGAAGGCGTTCTTTTTATATTTGGTAAATGATATTATTGAATTATTGCGAACAAAATGAACAATCTATTAAGATATCAATACTCTTCTTGAATACAATATTTTAATTTTTTACATTGGTAAATGTATTTACGCTTACTACCTGCATACAGGAGGTTATGCTGGACAAACAGGCTAGAGAAGAAAGTACTAAACACTAAAACCCAACGGAACCATCAACTAAACTTAAAGCACTCAACCACGACATCTCAACGGCTGGCCTACTAGGTAGGCCCCAACAACTAGGGGGTTGCTTGTTCATAAACCCTGATTATCATTCAAGGTTAGGACGGATTTTCAACAATGGCTATACAGCAACGAACCATTATCTAAAGATTATCAGGGAATAACTATTTCACAAACAGATACACAAACAAACATAGGCATCAACTTATAACACTCCTACTTTTTCGTCCTGGGTTATAAAAGAAATTTTGCCATTAGATGCCGATTTAAAGTAATGCTGTGTCATAGAAAAATAATGTAAACCTTGGTCAGTACGTGAGACAAATTTATGTTTAATCAACATAATTAAAGTGGAAAGTAAAACGTGCTAAACATGGCGAATAACAAAATTTTATTAAATGTGTATATTAGTGTAGACCTACGAGACGTACCTATATTATACAAGTAAAAAAATTATTATAATAAGTAGTTTACGTTTACGTTTTTCTCTATTTGTGTATTTTTTCTACTACTAAAATACCAGGTATGTTAATATTTTATTTATCAATTAAACAGAGACGATTATTGTAAAAACGTTTTAAATGAAGAAACATTAATACTTTCAAAGACATTTAAAAAAAACTCATGAATAGAAACTTTTTGTGTTACTTATGAAAATAATTTTATTATTAGTCTGCATCGATCAAAACTTTTTTACACACACAAAAAAGTGTAAATACAAAAAGTTTACAAGCCTTAAAAGTTTACTGGTGCTTTAAACGTTTATGTCAAAAACAGTTGTCATTTTAGAAAAAAAAATTAATATTAAACATATATATTAATATTATTATATAACTTTTCTCCCCTTTGCAAAAGATATAATAAAGTATTTGTTTAAAATTATGTATTATAGGTTGATGGCTAGTGATGAGTAAATTGTATCGAGAACGCCATTCGCTACTGCAGGATGAAAATTCAGATGAAGAATCACTAATAAGTAATACTAGCCCAAAATTCCAAAGAAGGTTCTATTATTCATCCTCAGGACGTGCTAGTGCACAAGTGATAGGGGCTGCTTCTATAATTAAACGCTGGCCGGGTAAGTTACATGCTATTGCCTTTATATTTATAATAATTGACATATATCTATACATACATATAATAAAATTGTAACTAAGCCGAATCTGTACATTAAATATTTTTTGGAAAATCTTATTGAAATAGACATTATTATCGATACAGAGTCCGAATCTATGGTTTTTAGAATTTTTGTCTGTCTGTCTGTCTGTCTGTCTTTCTGTCTGTCTGTTACCGCATCACAGAAAAACCACTGGAGGGATTTTGATGAAATTTTGTGTGATAGCTGGTTATCCGGGTCAACATATAGGATACTTTTTACTGCGGGAAATTATCTCATTTCTGAGAAAAAATACAAAGACTGCATTATATTTTTTTTTAAGAGTATACTAATATGTAATACCTAAGAATTTGCTTTTTGGTCACCTGAACGCGGACGGAGCCGCGGGCAATGCTAGTATATTATCATAATATTGTGAAAGCATAATGTGCATTTCCAATTCCAATCCAAATTTCGCGTACTTCTTGCAAGTACTAGAGAAGATCTACGTCCTTAGAAAAATCAAGCCTAACGTTCGGGTTTTGATGAGATCACAGAAAAAACGATAAATTTTATTTAGAGTTTTGATTGCAATAGGTTTTGGGTACTTTGCATTTAGGTTGTATGGAAGGAACTAAGTGAGTTTAGTTGCTTTACTTTGTCTATGTGTTAAACTAAATAGGTTTGTCAAAATTTTATAGAATCCTAAGCGATTAATATAGAATAACTTAATTTATTTATTTTTATCCATACCTACGTATTTTATATAATAATATATACTTACAACATGATTACCACTGGGTAATAATGTTGTATATCTGTATAATAAATATTATAAATGTGAAAGTTTGTGAATATGTGTGGCTGTTTGTTACTCTTTCACGTCAGAACGGCTGAACGGATCTGAATGAAATTTGGCACAGAGATAGATTATAGTCTGGAATAACACATAGACACCTTTTTATCCCGGAAAAATGTACGGTTCCCGAGGGATAGATTTGTTTTTATTTTTCCGCTAGTATTAGTATATAAAATACGGATACTGGATCCTGATCCATTAATTTTTACTACATATTCTTTTTCAGATCATCTCACAACCTTGCTTACCTATTGGTGGTTAGGACTCGGTATGATAGCGGTATTAGTTTTCATTACCTATAATACTATCCTAGCTGTTGCCGCACTCCCTCCATCTCATCCTAAACCATTGAAAACTCTAAACAGCCAATTGAACTTTATAAGTAGATCTCATGAAAATTCTGAGGACCGCAATATATACATGCACGTCTTTGTAAACTGTTATGAAGACCTAAAAATTAATGATTATATGCCTTATATTGAGACATTTTTAAAAAAGTATCCAAATTTTACATATAACTTTATTGTAGTCATCAACGATGCGTCGAACGATGCTATTGAAGATTTAAGCGATGAATTGAAAAACGAACTAGCACTAAATTCATTATGGAACGAAAAGGAAAATAGTGATGTACAATTGTTTAATAAAAAATATCCTCAAGTTATATCTTTAAGTAAATATATGGATGAATCACCATTGAAAAAATATTGGAGGCGCTTGCCTAAACAATTTATCGGATTTTTGACTCGATGTATTGCTATTTGGAATAAAGGAGGTATTGCACTAGATCCTATTATATTAACACCTAAATCTCCTAATCCAATGTATATCGAAAAATTAGAACAAATTCTTAGTAGCGGAAATTTAAAAGTGAAAAAAACTCATACAAGCAAAAAATTATTAAGAAAACCTAAAAAGAAAGTGAATAATATTCAAGATATAATCAATACACTAGAAAATGAAGACAATGTCAATAGTATAGAGGAGAATATGATTGAAGCAGAAAATATAGACAACGTCTATAAAGTAAAGAATCCGTACAAAAATAAAATTAAAAGAAATATAAAATTAGCAGATCATAAAAATGACAATAAATCAGAGACTTATGATAAAATTTATGAAAACAATCCTCATAAATTGAAAAACGAAAATGATTATTTATCTCTTACTTCTAAAGAAAATGAAAAACAAGCTTTTGAAGATACAACGACTAAGCAAGGCCTTCTTCCAATGTTTTTAAAATATCTTTTTCATCAAGAACCTACAATTTTCAAAAAGTACTCCCTGAGTACAAAAAACATTACCAAAAATGACACACATGATGACATTTCAAACAGTCTTGTAACAAGTTCTCCAATACTAAACACTTCTAGAGATATGATTCCAAATACTCAGTCGATAGATATTTATAACAAAATTAGTATTAATAATAATCATAACAAAAGCGGAGCATTGTTAACCTTAGACTTAGAAGCAAATTTGATTGCAACTGAAACACCTTGTCATGCTTTTATTGGAACAATTTTTAGCAATGTTATTCATTACACTAATGAAGAATCTATAAGAGATCTTATTATTACTGAATTGTCACTATTCTGTAAAGGAACGTTGTCTTCATGTAAAGGCATCGAAGTCATTTTATTATAAGTGAAGTGTAATACTATCAGTTATGTCAACTATATTAATTTAATGCCATTTTTCTCTAGATACTAAATTATTGAGATATATATATATATATATATATATATATATATATATATATATATATATATAATTAGAATTATTAATCATGAGTTATAAAATTAGTGAGAGTAATTCGTGCACCGAAGGCTTTGTACAACTATAAAAAATGTATTTTATGGTAGACATTTAGCAATAAATTAGGATCTACTAGTAAAGATCAAAAAAATAAAATTCATTGAGTTATTATTACTTAAAAATTCTAATTCTGAAAGAGTTTTATCTATACCTGTTAACTATTATAAATGCGAAAGTTTGTATGTATGTGTGTATGGATACGTGTTTGTTTAATATCCTTGTTATTTTTTTCAACAACAACAACAACAAGAAACAGCTGGATAAATAAGTTCAATGAAATTTTGAGGAGACCTTCGGTGCGCGTATTTTTCTATTTTAAACCTTTAAAACAATTTTTTTTACGTTCCACCTTGCGATTGTTTCAGAAAAAATGCGAACAATACATGTCGCTGATTGTTATAGATTTACTAGTGTTATTGACTGTTTTATTTATGCTGTGTATTTGTAGTTTCACAAAATAAAACAATAATAAAAATAATTTATTTATTATTTAACCTAATCAGTCGTGATCAAAATAATGTCATTTATGACAATATTTTGCTCACAAGTCGATTTTCTTTATTAATTATGGCAGCGATGTTTTTTTTTCAATAGAGACGGCGGACTAGAATTAATTTTAATTTTATGCTATGTTTAAGTAATATAATACGTTATTAAATCTAGTTTACTTATGGGTCAATGTACTATCTACATTAATGTTTCTGAAAGGTAAAGTTCTAAAATATATTGCACTATGAAAATCAATCTTAAGACCCGATGTTATATGTTTCCAGCGGTAAATCGTATCTTCTTTTCCAAGGGTATGACGATCTCTTGCAATCTTTCACTTTTCGTATCGGTTCACATCTTCTGCTAATTTTCCAATAAACAAAACCTTCTGGACATTTGTATACATAGCTCCGTAACTTGCCAGTCTGAGTTAGTTCACATTTTAAGAAGGCCTCTGAGCAAACTTCATTTATTTCAAAAGGAAAATGGCCAACACTGGAACATGCCATACTTTCTTCTGTTACGAGGATCTGATAGAAAAAAAAACATTAGTATTATACAAGTGTCAATCATTTTTAATGTAACTTAAAATATGTAGTTAATATATTAATTAAACTATCTTGAATAACTTAGCTTCTAAAAGTTTGTTAAATATAAGCTTTAATTAAATATTTATATAGTTAGTGATTAATATTGTTATTTTTTTAATTAATTTACCGGCTCATTGAAGAAAGCTCCTAGCCTCTTTACTCTGTGTTTTTGTGCCATCTGTCCATTGCATTTTTTATCACTCTTTTCTTCCTCAACACATTGAACTTTAGTTTCATCGTATATAGTATTATTAGGGCAATTGAATACTGCTACTTTAACTTCATGACTATCATTATCTTCAATACATTGATAAAATAAATTGCAATATTTGGGATGTCGTCTAAATGATGTTGGACAAACAAATAAAAATTGATCTCCATCCGTTTCGGGGCATTCTTGGTTGGATGTTGTAGACTCTGTACTTGATACTTTATCACTTTCAGTGGTTGTGGATTCTGTGGTTGTACTTTGAACTTCAGTTATCTGTGAAATATTATCTTCCGTAGTTGTTGACTTTTCAGTTGATGAAGTTACTTGTTCTGTTGTAGTTTGATCAGTTGACATTGATGTTAAATGAGTTGTTTCTGTCGTAGATTCTGTCATATCTGTTTGTTCTGTACTTGACTTTGTAGTTTGCTCCTGATTTGATGGAGTAGTTGTTTGGTCCGTAGAAGTACTTTGTGTCGACTGTTCGCTTGTCGTTAGCTGTGTCGTAGATTGTTCAGTTGTCGAAGATTGTGTCGTAGATTGCTCACTTGTCGATGATTGTGTCGTAGGTTGTTCAGTGGTCGATGATTGTGTCGTAGATTGCTCAGTTGTCGATGATTGTATCGTAGATTGTTCAGTTGTTGATGATTGTGTCGTAGATTGTTCACTTGTTGATGATTGTGTCGTAGATTGTTCACTTGTTGATGATTGCGTCGTAGATTGTTCACTTGTCGAGGATTGCGTCGTAGATTGTTCACTTGTCGAGGATTGCGTCGTAGATTGTTCACTTGTTGTCGATTGTGTCGTAGATTGTTCACTTGTTGACAATTGTGTCGTAGATTGTTCGCTAGTCGACGATTGTGTCGTAGATTGTTCACTTGTTGTCATTTGTGGTGTAGTTTCTTTAGTAGTCAATGTTTGTGTCGTTTGCGGGCTTTCAGATGTAGTAGTTATCGCAGTAGTTGTAGCTGATTCTGTTACATTCTGACTTTGTTGCTGGTCTCCACTGCAGTCACGAGGAGGGTACACTGAATCTTTATGGTTACATGTTTCGAGAGCTGGATCCCAAATTGTCCCATCACTACATTCAAAATGAAACACAGAAAATTTCTCACCGTTACCATCCCAATCTACACATCTGTGGAATTTTTTGCAGTCATATGGATCAGCATAATAACCAGCTTTCTGGCATGTAATGTTTTGACCACTAGAACTTTCAATAGAATTATTGTCTGTACAGTTAGTATTAGTTCCATTACCTACATTGGATGTAGAACTACTTGATTCACTTGTGGTGGTTAAAGATTCTAACGTTGACCCAGGTGAACTTGTGATATAGCCTGAGTCCTTATCAGTGGTTGTCTGTTGTGGTTTACTGGATGTATTTTCATGATCAGATTTACATGACGGATTTGTCACATCTTGCGGATGATTACAGGCGACAATATCATTATCCCAGATAGTACCTTCACCACATGTATAATCATATTTTGTATATCCTCCTTTTCCATTACTGACACACCTATAAAACTTTTTACAGTCTTCAGTATTACCGAAATATCCTTCATTTTCACAATAAGTTTGGCCTGTTTGCTCTGAAGTTGGTTTTGATTCAACAGGAATCGAAGTAGTTGTTGATGGCTTATCTGTTGTTGTACTAGATAGAGTACTAGATTGTGAACTAGATGTTGCACTAGATGTCGTATTTGATTTATCTATAGAACTTGTTGCAGAGGACGATTCTTCATATGAACCAGTTGATGTTGTTATAACTGTAGCTGAAGAAGTGCAATTTGCTACATGCGTATCATGATCACAAGCTTGAATTTCTTGAACCCAAACTGTACCTTCACCACAATCAAACTCATACTTGGTATATCCATCTTTACCATTATAAACACATCGGAAAAATTTTCTACAGTCATTTTCATTTGCGAAATATCCTTCTGAGTTACATTTTTGCTCTTTCGCAGATGATTCATTAGGTTTAGAAGTTGGAGATGTAGACGCGACTACTGGTGTATGGGATATCTGTGTTTGAGATGTTGCTTGACTTGAGTCAATTGTAGATACGGTTGTTTGTTGAGTCGTTGTATTAACAGCTTGTACAGAATGAGATGTTGTTTCCATTAATTCATTTTGGTTTTTGCCACATTTTTCTACAGCCCATGCGTGATTGCATGCTGTAATCTTCGAATCCCAAGCTGTTCCTTCACTACATGTAAACTCATACATTATAAAGTCTCCATTACCATCATCAACACACCTGTAGAATTTTTGACAGTCGTTTTCATCACCAATAAATCCGCTAGATTCACATTTATTAGTTTCATTTCTTGCTGCTAATGTCGTTAATGTAGGGCTACGTACTGTCGTGCTAGGAGAAGAATAAACTGGTTGATTGTTATTTTGAGTAATGTAGCCATTTTCATTTTCATCTATAGAACTTGTCGTAGGTTTCACATATATTTCAGTAACATTGTCTTTTTGTTCCGTGCTTGCTATACTATTGCATTCTTTTACTTCCGTTGCATGATTACAAGCTTGAATTTTTGGATCCCATAATGTTCCGTCACCACAAAAAAATTCATACCTTTCATAAACTCCAGTTTCACTTTCGACACATCTGTAAAATTTTTTACAATCATTTTTATCACCTACAAAGCCATTAGTATTACACTCATTTAAACTCGAAGTCGTTGGTGATGATATAGTTGGTATTTGTGAGCTTGACATTGTACTTTGAGAATTATAGTTTAGGGTTGTATATCCATTATTTAAATTATCATTATCAATATTCGTTGTATCAGAAGTTGGTATTTGTGAGCTTGAAATTGTACTTTGAGAATTATAGTTTTGACTTGTATATCCATTATTTAAATTATCAATATTTGTCTGAGTATTCGACTGTATTTCTTCCTCTATATCTTTAGTACCGCCACATCGTTTTACCGCCGACGCATGATTACATGCTTCAATATTGGGATCCCAGGCAGTTCCTTCGCCACATATAAATTCATGCTGAATAAATCCACCATTTCCATTATCTACACACCTATAAAAAACTTTACAGTTATTATAATCACCAATAAATCCAGTATCTTGACATACATTTTCCTGTGTCATTGGCTGTTTTGGTGTATTTTGAGTTACTGTAGCATCAGATTTCGTAGTTTCTATGGGCAACGGCGTATTATATTCTGAATTATTATAGTCATTATTGGGTACATATCCCAATGTGGTGGTTTGATTATATGGACTAGTTGTAACTATATCATTGGTTTTTGTTGTTTCGTGTACGTTTGTAACTGATTGTTGTCCACACGATTTAACGGCCCAAGCATGGTTACACGCTTGGAGATCTTGATCCCATAAAGTACCTTCGCCACACCTATATTCATATTTTGTAAAAGCTCCTTTTTCGTTATTAACACATCGGTAAAATATCTGACAATCATTTTGATCTCCAAAGAAACCAGTTTCTTCGCATTCTTTTAATGAAGGTCTACTAGATGTCGTACTAGATATCAGTAATACGGTAGTTCGAGTAGTAACTTTTTCTTGAGTTTCTTCTTCAATTTCATTGAAATAACTATTATTATTATTTTCAGCAATATCACTGGTAGTGCTGCTTGTCGGATATTTTGTTGTTGTAGTAGTTTGACTTGGTAAGCGACTGCTATGGTAATTACTACTGGAAGTAGTACTGACACTACTACTGGAAGTAGCAGTAAGACTAGTTTCGTATTCAATTGGGCCAATTGTAGGAGAAATATCCTTGTTTGATGACGATCCACCACATTCCTGAACAGCCCATGCATGATTACAAGCTTCTGCTCTACTGTCCCAGACTGTACCCTGACTGCAAGTAAATTCATATTTCGTAAAACTACCTCTGCCGTTATCAACACATCTATAAAATCGACTACAGTCATTTGGATCACCCATAAAGCCACTTTGCAAACATTGTTTAGATTTTCCTGTATCACTAGGAAGTGTTGTTTTATTTAAATGTGGCTCTTCTGTAGAATAAACTATCGTAGTTTTTCTATCTTTACTTCCATATTCTGCGTTTATTTGACTTTCTCTGCTAGCATAATTTGCTTCATTTTGAGGCCATTGTGTTGATTTATAAACCACTGTAGTTTTTTTATCTTTACTTCCGTATTCTGCATTTACTAAACTTTCTCCACTAGCGTGATTTGCTTCATATTGAGGCCAGTGTGCTGATTGCTTGTTATATTCTTGGGTGTGGTTGCCTTCAATTTTATCTATATTTACTTTACTCCCATACTCAACATTATTTTGTTCCAGCATATCATTTGTACTTGTTGATGCATAATTTACTTGTGGTTCTTTCTCTGATGTTACATCACTAAAAGGTTTTTTGTTATAATGTGAGTGATAGTCATTTTGTCCACATCGACTATTACGAGCTGCCCAAACGTGGTTACAACTCTTAATATTGTCATCCCATATTGTAGCCTCGCTACATAAGTATTCATAACGTGTAAAGCTTCCACGCGAATTTCTTACACATCGATAAAACTTTCTACAATTTTCAGTATCTCCGATAAAACCATCAGCTATGCACGGAGAGCTTTTGTCAGAGGTTGGTGATATAGTCGTTAAATACGACATTTGGTTTTTATCATTTTTAGATTCCGTCCATGGGTAAGCTGGCAATGAAACTTCATATTTGTTTGTTGTCATTAGTGGAACAGATCTTGTTGTAGTGGTTTTCGAATTAAGATTTAACTGTTGTGGTTCTACAGTAGTTCTTGTTACAAGTGTGGCATTGCTTAATTCTAAATAGCTTGAATACACAGGTAGTTTAGTAGTTATAGGCGATGGTAATTCATGGTCCTCTATTTCATTTTCCTCATTTGCGTCATGAGATAGTGGGATTAGTCCACCACATTCAGATCGTTTTGTATTACGAGGATGATTACAAACTTCATTTTCGGGATCATATACAGTTCCTGGACCGCATTGATACTGTAAATTTATGAAAGATTGAAATTATAAAAATACTCTTATTTTTTTGGTGACATTAAAAATGTTTATTGGAATTATTTTTACACGTTTTACATACATACATTTAACAATAAAAAAACATCATCGTCAACAAGAACTATACATAGATATAATAGATGTCTTACCCTGAAAATATTATATTTTTCTTTTGATGTTTTTACGCATCGATAGAATACGGAACAATCCACTGGATCTGCTTTAAATCCTTCATCGAGGCATATGATTGGCTCTGGTTTAGATCCTGAGTATAGTTTTACTATCCTTCCATTAACACGTCCTTGACGACCTTCTGAGTTGGATTCTGTAATTTATTTTAATAAATAAATAAATTAAAACAAAAATATTTAAAGAAGGGGACTGGTCAAAGCTGAAGTGAAGCATGGTCTGTTCTTTAATATATAATTTTATGAGTTATTTAAGAATAGTTCATTTATCAAAACCAAAAGGTTAAGTTGACAATTTAAAAAAAAGAGAATTCTAGAAACTTCTACTAATTAAACAGGATACTTTTTCGTCTAAGTTACAGTTATATTAGTACTATAAGTTACTTTTAGTTTTGTAAGTTATTAATGATACACGAGATATTTAAGCCTGAATGAAGGCAGAGTTGCTAGCGCTGTGTAGTGTATAATTTTCTTTACATTTGTCACCACAAAAGATATGCGATAAACCTGAAAAGTACGAGTACATACCAGTTTTATTAGCCTGTATTGCTTCAATAAGAGCTGTTAGTAAAACAAATGATAAACAAGATCTCCTAATGTATATATTCATTTTCTTGAATGTGAATACTATTGTCGCAAGTACGTCATACCGTGATCCTGAAACAAAAAATAATTACAATTATTAAGAGACAGTGGTAGCCCAGTAGTAACGCGCATCCTTGGAAAATCAAGGGAAGTGGGTTTAAATCCGGGATCTGCCACCTATAATACTTTCATGTACGAATCATATTTAACATGATTACCACTTATCTAACGGTGAACGAAGACATCATGAGGAAACCTGCATATACGAGTATAAGAGAACCTAACAAGTTTTCGAAAGGCATGTGAAATCTGCCGACCTGCACTTGGCTGATCCAAAGCAAAATAAAAGAGCCGATGCAAAGCAAATCTAATATATTTCGATAAGTAAAATACATAATATTTACCTATTAGATATTCATATCTTAAAATATTGTAGGCTGGCACCGACTTCGAAAATATCTGATTAGGTATCTATTCGAAATGAAAACCCCCGATTAGTTATTTTTACATTTTAGTACCTGGATTTCGGTTTTTATTTTTTGTTAAAAAGTTTTTATTTTTCCATAATTAGTGTCGACGTAATAAGCACGTAATTTGGAAGAAGAAAGTTTTTTAATAACATATTTGATTAAACAATTTATTTAAAAAAATGTTGATTTTTTTTAAAAACCGCCCGACCGATTTCGATAAAATTTATATGGAACCACCTGGGAAGTATACCTTTGAAACACAAAAAAAAATTCCATATCGGGTCAGGTGTCTTCGAGTAATCGGTGAACAGACGTAAAAAAAAGATATCGACGAATTGAGAACCTCCTCCTTTTTGGGAAGTCGGTTAAAAATACTAGGAGTATAAAAGGGTAACAGGTAACGTTTCATGTTGATAATAGTTTTTAAATGTGATATTTTAATTTAATACGTCTACGTATATGGTATGGCAGTAATAAAATAAGTTATGGTTAAATTTAAGCCATTTTGGTGCTGATAGATTCTTCAATAAAGAAGGATTCAAACCACAGACAATATAACCTATGTCTGTGATTCAAACTCATTCTCCTTTTAGAAATACCAGTTAAAATTGACCAATGGCATTATGAGTGATAAAAGTTACAAGTTTACATTCAATATACATAATAAATGATATTTTATTTACGTACAAAAATAATATTTATTTATAAGAACGTGTTCAGAATATGACAGCTGTCTTATTTTGATGCATTTTAATTGCAAAACGTGATTAAAGGAATTATTTCCACTGATTCATTGCATATATGTACATACATATGTAGGTAATATGAGTAGGAACATCGTGATATTTTTCAAAACATTCACAAATCAATTTTTACATATTAATCATTACTCATTCCTATTATGACGTAATATAATATTGTACAATTTACACTATACTATTCAATTACATAAAAATAAAAGAAAGTTTTCCTTATGTAGTTCCACTATGTGTTTGTATGTGTAGAACAGTGTCGAATCTGAAAAATCTTAATTAGATAGAATTTTATTTGATTACCATTAGTACTTTAGATTTGCACAATATTAGTAAAAGTAGCGATAAGAGCTCAGAAAATTAGATGAAAAATTTGGAAGTTTCACATCAATGCTGCGGAATTGCCTGTCCCTTGTCTTGGACATAAGCATCTTGTAAAATTTGAAGGCTTGTATCGCTTTGAAATTAGACAAGATGGGACGCTAATTTCATGTTAGAAGCTCTATCAGGGTTGCGACTATTACACAGACAGACACACGACATATTTATATATTTTACAGACGACATATAACTGGAAATATAGCACATCCGTTGAATGATGGTCGTATATGCACTGACATTAGCACAATAGGATCGTCAAAGAAGCAAACATGCCTTTATAAGTAAAATGCCGAGGATTCTCGCGAAATATTCTAATTCGTTGATTTTATCAGTTTCTGGCACTGGCTAAAAGCGCGTAAGGCTTAGAACAATACTCAAAAACATAAATCGTACACTGTGTTGTGACACAGCACATATTTCTACTTTATAATGATTGTTAACCACGATTAATAGAAAAACTATTAAAGAAAAACTAAAAAATGTTAGGATGTATTATACTACATAAAAAAATACTTTATCGGTAGTAAATTGGTAACATTCAGTCGTCGACTGATATTTTTTTAAATATATCATGCATTGTTTTGGTTTTGTCCTATAAATGAAGCCAGTATTAATTGTTAATTATTTTTAGCACAAATATAACATAGCTTTATATTTCTTAATGAAAATAGCTGGATTATCTCATTTGGTGCAAAATAAATAAGCTTCGAAAAAGCGCGTGGAAAGGATCATCTACACTCGCTCATCTTATTCTTGGTAATTTCTTAAGCAACTTAAAGGTCACAAGTGAACAACCAGCCAGTCATGTAAGAACAAATCGACATAGCTAGTTCATTGCCGCTAATAATTACAGGTTAGTTTATAAAAACATTAAAGGAGCAGGCCGGGACGTTAAGATTTTTTGTTTTGATGACACATTGCTGCCCGAGGTGTTCTGGATAGCAAATCTAATTACTTGCTTTCTGTTTATATACTACTAGCGAATTACCCATGCTTCGCTTGGGTGCGCCAGATTCATTTGCAGGCGTATACAGAATAGGCTAACAAAGTTTCTTCGCGATCAGTTTAAAAGTATAGAGGAATGAACATACGAACATTCATTTATTTGACGACACGTTTGGCTCAGTTCGTAATGACCTTACTTGCTGCGCCAGCGGTCGCGGGTTCGATTCCCGCTGGGGGCATTCATTTGTGTGATGAGCACGAATGTTTGTACTCCAGTCATGGGTGTTTATATTTATAATTTGTATGTATTTAAAATTATATATGTGTGTAATGTATCCACTATCTAGTATCCATAACACAATCCATAGTCGTAGCTTACCATGGAATTAGATGGTGTTGTGTGTTAATGTCTTGACATATTTATTTATTATTATTTTTATTTGTATAAGAATAAAAAATAATAAAATCTATTAAAACGTACCTAGCGACGCACCCGAGCGAAGCGAGGGTGAGCCGCTAGTCCATAATAAAACAATAGGTACTATACCGAGTTGCCTTAGCAGTGCAACGTGAATGGTATTACGTCAATAATAGAAAAAGTTAATTTCTAAAGTACCTATATGTGAGGTCAATACTTACATTAGATAAACACATTTTTTTCTTAGCTGCTAAACCGCTGTATTCGGCCTGCCTATATTTGACGGATAGTGATAGTAGAAAGTGAGAAGTTTTTTGGCTCTTGCTACCTATCTCGTATAGGACCTTACTTTTTACGTATTAAATTCAAACAAAATAATAAATGTAGGAGTACAGAAGAAAAATGAGTTCTACTAATGCAATCAAACAAGTATTAATCTCACAGCAGGGCTTTTATAATATTCTAAAAGTAAATAAAAATTTATTTCCTCCACAAACACAACGGTGCTCAATCGTTTTTTAGGATACCGTAGCCAAATGCAAGAACAGAAGTTTTCTTTATATCCGTCTGTCATTGGTTGATTTTTAGTAAGTGGTCTATTATTGTGTTGACAGTGCAGTCATAATACAAAATAAAAAAAAGTTTGGCACTTATTACTAGTAACTGAGGGATGAAAAAAATTAGTGCAATTTTGTGGGGTATCATCAAATAGGACTTTAAACATCAGTTAAATGTCACAGAATGAATTATTGGATGGAATATATGTTAGCTTGGTTTTGAGATAAGGAATATTTTAAGCTACACCTTACCTTTGTTACTTATTTTGAAAGTTTAGATGTATCCAATTTTATTCTTATCGATGCCTAACCTAAATATTAATTAAAAATGCTTATTTTATGTCATATTCCATGTAGAAGCAGATTAATCTATACTAATATTATAAATGCGAAAGTAACTCTGTCTGTCTGTCTATCTGTTACCTTTTCACGCTTAATCCACTGAACAAAGAAAGAGAAAAAAAAATATTTTAATTTTTAATTTTACATACTTACATAATATTTAGGTCATTATAATATAAGCTGCATTATAATACTCGTATATGCAGTAGGTACAATTATTTTTTAAACAAACACCCAAATATTTAAATATATTCGAGAATTTTCTCATTAATTATAATATTAATAGAATTAACATATTCCTAAGCGTGAACTGATTAAATCTACGCATCAGAGTCGTAGCCATGCGTTATTCTAACGAATCATTTTCATTCCAAATATTTCTCAAAATCACGAAACAAATCAAGTAAGTTTAGTTAAACATTAAAAGTATAAATAATTCGAGTAAGGCTTTGGCCATGCATGATTGTATAAATAACAATACTTTTTCTTTTATTTGATGCGCGTTTATAAACGAAAATAAAAAGCGAGTTCGAATCTTATTTATAGCTCAAAGTGACGTATGGGCTCGTTAATAATATCCAAGGCCCCTAGCGAGAGTAAATTGCATAAGTTAGTCAAGTTACACTTTATTGCGGCTTGTTGAAGGGCGCAAACTGCAACCAACGAAACAGGTTGGAGAAGATTCCACCCAGCTGCTCTAGTGGACTGCATTCCTGTGGTTGATGTCTGTTTGAGGTACAAGTAGTGTTTTAATAATTGCTTCAATATGTTATTAGCGATGATCATAGGTAAACAGGCGTGAGTGCTACGCCGCTGATTATAAGGTATGAGATAATTTTAACAAGTATACTCGCCCTCAAGCTTTAACCACGTATAATTGTAAAACGTGTCTATTTTAGTGCATAGCCATATTAATTTTGTCTGATGTACGTAAACAGGTTTTCTTTAAGATTAAAATAAAATTGCTAAAATTGCTAATATTCATGTAATCATATTTGTCCGCCTGTATGTTTCCTATAGTTAATAGAGAGGAGACTTGTTAAAAGTTGAAAGTTCGAAGAATCATATCTAGTGTCTCATAGAAACCGCTGTACAATATAATTACAAAGCGGTACAGGAAGTGGGAGTGAAAAAAAAACAACTGCACATAAGGTTGCTGT